ATAAATAATAGTATAATTCGAGAATTGTTGTTGAGGACTTACTTTCTCGTAAGGCACTGTACAAATACTCACATTAAAAAAAAAAAATTCTCAAAAATTTGCAAGGTAAGGTAAGGTAAGATAAAAGTTCAGTATTAGATAAATAAGGACTTCAACTATTAGAAAAAAATTAATTTTAGTCATAATCTAATAATTTTTTTTTTAACATTTGAGGCGAGAGGTGTGGCGAAAGGACCTCCTTAAAAATGTGTTACAATTGGCAAATATGAAAATAAGTAGCTATCTCTAATTTAAATTGAATGTAAAACTGCTTATGATTTTAAAACCAAATTATAGTGGTTTTGGTTTTGAAAATTGTATTTTGACAAAGGTAATTAAGAATGTGTTACAATTGGCAAATTTGAAAATAAGTACCTATCTCTAATTTAAATTGAATGTAAAACTGCTTATGATTTTAAAACCAAATCATAATATGTAATAGTATATTGTTTCACGAGTGACGAAAATGATTTTCAACGAGTAAAACACTATACTTTTTCTACGAACTCTATTATGTCATGTAGGTACCTACTAAAATGAAAAAAAAAAAAAACAAACGTTAGCAAATGCTTTATTTTGTGTTAGGAATAACAAAAAATTAACCAACAATTAAATATTTCAGAAATATTATTTATTATTTAAATATTGATTTATTGTTATATTTGAACAATTGTTCAAAATTATGGGGGTATCACACTCAAGCTTTTTATTTATTGAGGTAGATGCCGACATATTTGTTCTGCTGTTAAATGTCATTTCAGATGATGATGCGCCATAATCGGATGAACTAGTAGTTTCTTTATTTTGTACAAATTGTAAAATTTTGGTTTGTATTTGGTTTTTACTGTTCGTGGATTCATCAACATATCCTTCCGCAACACTACTAGATTTCCAACCACCGTGCTTTTTTAACAGAAGCAAGTCACCTCCTGCATCCACTAATAGCGTTGCGGATGTTCTGCGGAAACAGTGCCCAGTGTAATCTTGAGGATTCGGAAGCGTTAAAAACTGAGCAATTTCGTTAGGAAATTTACTGATTTTATTAATTCCAACAACCTGTCTGCTACACTTTCCATTCTGATAGTTAATAAAGAATCTTGAATTAATTTGATCCATGTTTGCGGGACGTAGGCTCATATATTTTTTAGAAATATCATGAAAGGGTCTAGAAATATGAAAAGAACGCGGAACTTTTGTTTTTGTATTACGGATTTTAACTAACAGAATACTTCCAGTATCCTTTTTTACATCGCTTATTGTTAAATCTTTTAGTTCGTGGCAACGACAAGCGCCAGATAATCCAAAAACTAATGCTACCTACAAATATTAGTAGTTATGTATTAAGTATTTGTTAAAATAAAAATAATAATTCCGTTACCTTTGTTATTAAATATTTATAGTCAGGTGCATTCTTTAGGAAAGTCTTTATGTCTTCAGTCGAAAAATTTTTGGATTTTTGGCTTTTAAAACCATCAGATTTTCTTTTCAAAAGCGAACGTAACTTTGGATATTTACTAATATCGACATCATTTTTAACAGAGAGTGTAGTTCTTAGCATCAAATAAATGGACCATAACGTCGACGATTTAAAATTTGAACATATTTCTCCAAAGTATGCTAGTAGTACAGTTTCCGAAAATGATTTCACTTTATTTTTTTCTCTCCAGTCCAAAAATTTGATATAAATTTCTTCATATCTCTTTTTTGATTTGGCCGGTAATAAATCTGAAGAGGTTTCTTCAGCTTTAAAAATAATTTCTGGGGGAGTACAATCGCTTTCTGGCTCAGACATCATGAAAATGTGTTAAATTTAGGACGAACTGAAACTGACAGTTCTCAAAAGTGATAAAACTTCAAATAAACAAATGAAAACCAGGAAACTAGATGTAGATTGGTTTAATTTGCACTATTTTTATACATTTTTATTTTATCTTTAATTCATTAAAGTTTAGGTAAAAACGCATATAGAATTTAATGAGCATCTTTTTATTTCATTATTAATAATTGCCAATAACTGCCAAAATATTATACGAGGCGACTGATATATGAAAATATGTAACAACTTACTTTCGTCACTAGAGACGAAAGTAAACGTTATGGGATTTTTTCTCACTAGTGACGGAAATCAAGTTTTCGCTGAAAGTATCCTGTGGCGAAAGATGTCTTTTTGTAAGAGTTCATAGAAAAAAGCTTTTAACGGATTAATATGAATGTTTTGCATTTCGAGGTCTGAAAATTTGGTACCACAATATTGCAAAAATTATGCAAAAATTTGTATTCAACAGAATAATAACATTCCGTTTGCCCGCCAATTTTTTTTGTTACCTACCAATATAAAATGAAAAAACATTACTCACAAAAATTTAATTTTATATGGGCAATTTTAATTTTTTTTTACTTATTTCTGTTTTTAAACATTATTTGTTATTTTTTAAAGTATTTTCATGAGTAGATTATTAACTTATTTATTTTTATTATTTTAGGTTTTGATAACGACTTTGTAGCTGAAACTGATCTCATCATTTTTTCTTAACCTATTGTTGAGTGCATATTCCATTTATAATAATATACTTCATTACGTAATAAAAAGGGATCAAAGTATCTAGGGTTTTCCCAATAAAAATTGGTTTTAAGCATTTAATGAGTTTCTTTAAATTATAATATTAAGGGATTATTATTACAAAGTGGTTCCAGGTCAAAGTGCTGAATTGGCCTATCTCAAAAGGGTCGCTTTGAAAAGGTACCTGCCTGCCTGGCGCTCAGTTGGCCGGTCTACATTTATTACATCCAGAGCTTAGTGCTCAATTGGCTCATACCCAAAAAAGCATAAAAAAAGTGATACAGATGGTATCGGTTTATATTCGTCTTGCGATGAAAATATATTTCCTTTATTAAAAAAATGCCTACAAGTTTTGGTCACTCTACCCGTTAGTGCAGCTTCAGCTGAAAGAAGCTTCTCCTCTCCGAGGCGCCTTAAAACCTGGCTTCGTTCAACAATGGGTCAGGATAGATTAGTTGGGCTATCACTTCTGTTTATACACAGAAAAATTCAAGTAAATGTAGACCATATTATAAATAGATTTGCAAATAATAAAAATAGACGACTTAATTTTACGTTATAATGTTTTCTGGTCATGCGAGTATGTTATGCCCAAGAAAATATTTTTGTTTGTTTTTGTTATGTTTTCATTTATAAGCTTTCGTGTTATTAATGTTTTTCAAATGTGTTTAATATTTATTATACATGTAAAAGTTGTTCTTTTTAAATTTACTTGTATTATAAGTTTTTTGTTTGTTTTGTTTTTAAATTATATCAAAATAAAGTCAATATTTTCACTACCCTCCCCCAAATTTAAACTCTGGATGCGCCACTGACTATGTCAAGGCGTATCAAATCAGTAATCAGTCGAAAAGATCTTGCAACGCAGTGGTAATTTGCTGTTATTTGGTTTCGTCTGGATAAATTGCTCGAAATGGTTTTTAAACCCTAATCAAAAGGCGATATAGAATGGTTTTAAAAATCCAGGCTTGTGAAAATCATCACATGGTTTAACCTAAGCAATGCCGATGCTTCACAAACCAAAAATTCAACGTTCTAATACTATTATCGGCTTTCGGTCTTTCGTTCCAAGTTAAATCATTTCTCGTTTTTGTTACGCTACGAGTTTACCCTTGTGGGCCTCAGTCTCGATAAGGTGGGAACCACCATTTTATCGTCTCTCGAATTAGATATTGTTCATATCAATAAATAAAAGAAATGTTTTGATATTGATTTAGAGTGTTTTTATTCATACTCTATAATATCTATTGATACTCTATAACTCGTTTGAAATATTGAGATAATGGAAAAACAAATTATTTAATTATTTAGTATTTTGGCTAATATCCAAGCAATTTGGTTAATTGAAGAAAAAGCAATAATATTTCGTAATCTAATTTGAATAATTCCATTGAAGAATAATCAAGAATTTTTCGTAATTTAAACTGTATAATTTCATTGAAAAATAAGCAAGAATTTTTAAATAATTAGATTAATTCCATTACAACTATAGTTTGAAAAACCAAAACTTCAAATTTGGAGAGAACATTTCATAATTTTAAAAAATGAGACATTTCTTTCTATCTATAATTCACAAATATTTGTCTAATATGAATCTAAGTGCTTTAAATTAAAGACCTCAACCATTGAATTCATATTTTAGTTCACTTTGATGCAGTAACATCTTCATTATTTTAAGAAAGTAAGACACCTAGAAATCTATAAATACCTATGTGTTTAAAATAAGTAGGTAATAAAATGAAAAGTTGTAACCTGCGATACCAACATTTGGCTAATTAATTAGGTATAAAATACTTGATCTGTTTTGGTGGTTTTAGCCATGCTATCAGCTTAAGGGCCTATTTTTTCATCTCTGAATAAAGTTACACGTATGTTTATTTGTTTATAAGCGTAAGAAGATGGGTTTTCTGTGGATGATAAACTAACACTGATTTTGCATCAAGTGCGGTAACTAAAACTCAACTAGCTATTGCTAATAAAAAGGTGTCGTATAAACAAAACTTTAAATACTTGGTTTCAACGGTAGATGTCACCAATAGCATAATCTGACGATTTTTTATTCATTAACATCTTTTGTTTTATAATAACAACTATTGTTTATATCTAGTTGTAACAGTTCCAAAGTCCTCTTTAAAAGAGTACCTATTGTTTATAAAAGTCTATCTAGAATTATAATTTTTATTGATTTTCTCATAAAACCATATTTATTAGCATAATCATTTTTCTTTTATCTACATATCTGTCACTACGCTGTTCACTGTTTGTTGTGTGTAGGTAGTATGGTTTTACCTTATTGTTACCTCTTTGAAATAATTAATATATATTTATGACTGCGGCTTATCGTTATCTAATCTTGGACATGTGTCTGCGATAAAGCGTTTTATGAAATCAAAGTCACAAACCATCACAAACCAACGCCCCTTGTATACCTAATTGGAGTGTTTGAAAATTTATTGAAATTATAAGTAAAATATTACTTTAAATTGATCAAATACTAAAGCAGTTGATCTTAGATAAGGAAATAAAGGGTAGTTAGAAGCCAGGAAGATTAATGCAATACCAAACCAAACTACCAAACCAACCCGTTCTCTTTAGTAAACACTCAAACCCCGGTACCCTACCCAAAACAAGCAACTTTGATCCGCTGAACGGAGTCGAATCGGTCTGTGCATTGAGGAAACAAAGATAAAGAAACGACCTCTAATCCATCAGCTTGCCATCGTAGCCCCAGCCATACATACTCAACGCCAACTATTCTACCTAACCTAAGGAGGCGAAGGGAAAGGAAAAAGGAACAGCCTTCAGTGTCCCTTCATCTAGCCGGCGTGGTGCATCGTGTTGATCGAGCTGCTGCTGTATTTCTTCCCACCTTTTCTGTCGCTAACAGACTGCTCATCGTCTGAAACGGCAACGATATATCCTGCCCGTCCGAGTGGGGAGACCGGCCAACTCTGAATCCGACCCAGCAATAGACGTTCACGTCGTGATATGGCGTTACCGATTCAGTAAAATCATGGCCTAGTTGCCTTTAATACTTTTTAAAACAGAGTGATATCGTGTTGACTGCAAAACCAGTGTATTTTACCGTTAAGGAAGTTATATTTTAGAAGATATTCCAAATGGCAGAAGCCATGAATTACCAATCTTGTTGCAGGCTGTGCCTGTCTGAGAGGATGGACAGTTTGCAGTCGATTTTCGGTGAAACGCCAAACGATCCAGACCTAACGAAGAAAATTTTGCAACATTTAAATATCGAGGTAAGTAAATTTATCGATTTTATAATATTTCCGTCATTACTTTTGTTAAATTAATGTAGAAATTAGGTGAGAGATCCACCCAATCGTCATAGCCAGTTGATGAAAGCGCTAAGGTTGCGTTTCCGTATGGAACGCGTTGATATTCGACCGTATTAGCGTTGAAGCAACTGGCCAGAATGTCGATGCCAGCGTTTTGTAATGTAGAACGTTGTAAAATGGCTGCCTTCGGTGTTTTATACGGGGCGTACTACAAAGGTCGCTATTGATAAATTCTTTTTGTCGTTGTGGTTTTATCGATTTGATAAGAATATTTACTTATTTACGAAACGTTAATGCCGGTAATTGGTTATTCGTTAATGGTATTTGTTTTTAAGTAATTTTAAGTTTATTAATAACCTTGAACTGCATTGGTGATATCAACATGGCATCGATTTTCTGCATGTTTTTCTTAAATTGAAATTTCTTAATTAAATTTAGTTAAAAGCATAGCTCTTTGAAGCAGGTTATAACAAACCCATCTAAATAAAAGTGTAAATTTACAAGTTGAATGTGAAAGAAGATTGATATTAGATGAATACTTACGTGGTTTTAGATCACATGTTCTTAAAAACAACAAATTTGGTTTCTTTTTGTAAATATATATACCGGGTGAGGCACGAAACTGGTTGAACATCTTGATGGAGAAATTTTTTAAAAAAGTAAAAGCATGTCCATTTTTATTCCAAAGAGGACACTTTTCTATATCACATCTTCAACTATCATTCCCCTCCCCTCCGTAACTGTAACTAATACAATTTAAATAGGAAAAGTATCAAGTATGACACATCATTGAAAAGGCAACTTTAAGGAAAATTCAATATTATGATTGTTCATTGGGTTACTTTTGATTTTAGCGCCCTCTAACGGGATAAAAACTGTTACGTATTGTAAAGTGTGACACTTCATTTGAAAGCTAATTTTATTATTCATTTAGTGCATTACATAACAAAATATTATTTAATTAAACATGGACTTAAATAACTGAAGCACCCTTCGGAGCTCTAACATTAAATCAAAATAACAAACTTATGTCACCTATTAAATAACTAATTAAATTAGCTTTCAAATGGAGTGGCGCATTTTACAGTACATAACAATTTTTTAATCCGCTAAAGGTCGCTACAGTCAAAAGTAACACAGTGAACAGTGATGTTGATGAATTCCCCATAAAATTACAATTTAAAAGGTATGTCCATACATGATAGTTTTCCTATTTGAATAATATTGGTTAGAGTTGAAGATATGATATAAAGGAGTCTTTTAGATATTCAATTTAGGTATTACCAGCCGGTTAAATGAACGTTAATTAAAATTTTATTGCCTTGATAGTTCATGTCATTCAGACAGATCACATTCTGCAGCTCAGTCAGTTTATCAGATTCTATTTGTCATAGCAGATTTATTAATGTAAACAAGTCATTAAACTCTACTCAGCACCCTTGGATTGTCAAAGATGATATAGTCGGGAGTAGTATCAACTTGTTTTAAATTACCAGATGGACCTACTTTGTGGATTAATTAGTAGAAATTAGAGAATCAATAAACGGTTAAAAATGAAGTGTTTTTTTTTTATGATATTGATTCTCTCTTGTAAAGGGTTAACTGTACAAGTAAATTATTAAAAATAATAATAATCTGCCTATAATTAACCCCCTTGCAAATGGATCCCTGGAGCTCTGAAAGCAGAGTTTGTTAATACGCTAGTTTAGTGATGATGTAATTTATGGTTCAACTGACAATTAAAGTGACAGTAGATTTTTTGAGTACGTTCTGTTTACCTAAATTATATCGTTTTTACACTTTTATAAATATATTCCTAAAGTAAGTAGATAACATGCATTAATACAATACAATCATTTAGTTACCAATTACATACCTTTAAACTATTTTTTATGACCTGTAAACAATATTTAGAAATAAACTAAAAACGGTATAAACATATATGTCAAATTTATTGATGTTTTTGTTAAAAGTTTGGTTATAATTAAATGTCAGTGGAACCAAAATGGTATCACACTGATGCCAAAGAAGGCAGCAAAGCACCTCGGGAATTTTGAGTTGAAACATATGCCACATTTTTAGGCTATTTTAAGGCTATTTTTAAACCCTATTCAAAAATTTTATGCTCCTCGTTTTTTGCAAAAATCAAGGTGCTCTGCTAGCTTCGAAGGAAGTCAGTTTTTTAAAGCTTTTTTCCAAAACCAAAACCATATTTTTAGGCTATTTTTAGGCTCTTAAAATATTATAAAACGTTTCGAAAAATGTTATTTTTAAATAATAGAGGGTGCTTTATTGGAGCAAAGTCAGCAGAGCACCTCGGTTTATTATTATTTTTTTCAGAAAACTAGTTTTTAAGCTATTTTTAGGCTCCTAAAACCATATATAACTTTTCAAAAAAAAAAAAATGTATTTTTTAAAAAATACAGGTTGCTTTGCTACCTTCGAACGAATCCAGCAGAGCACCTCCGTTTTTTAAAGCTTTTTTCTAAAAACAACTACACCACATTTTTAGGCTATTTTTAGGCTCTTGAAATAATATAAATGATTCAAAAAAAAGGTTTCTTTTATTTATTTTCTTTTCGCAATCATGAACATATTTATGACATAACCAGTTACATAATGTTCAACTTTATGTAACTCAAAGTAGATAGATTATTTGGACACTTGCTGCGATTACAAAAAGTCAAATTAAAAAAAAAATTGTATTAAATATTTATTAACATTAGGATAGGCTCATTGCAAAAAACCCTTAATTAACAAACATTTTAATTTCTACGATTAATTATATCAATGCGGAAAAAATAATTGAAATCAATGAGGAACAATATACAAATAAGTTGTTTTAGCTGGGATTGATTGATTCAAAATTGGTGTAAATACCAATTACAAGGTAGTGTCCGTGTTAAAAATTCCATACCTGTTGATTTAATTAAAATTCATCATACCTACTCATACGCAGAGTCTTCAATAATATTCATATCTCACGTGACTAAATTGACTAAAAGTAACATTAATAACTTCAGTAGTAACCCTAAAACAATGACCTATTTGACATAATTCTATTGTTAAATAAGTTGTTATAAAAATCAGTAAGAATAGCCTTTTTTTCAGTAAATTTCTATAAAATTATAAATCTGTAAATTGAAAGCAAAAAAATAGGTACATAATTAATAAATAATTAAACTACTAAATGAGTCCCCTAAATGCAAAACTCGGTATTTGCTGGTTACAAAACTTTTCAGGAAGGGCAAAAACCTGTCAGTAATTAAAATACATATGAAATTCGTTTTAAATTTTGTTTTTTAGTTGGCTCTAGTGATTCTGTTTTGAAATAACTATGCTCTTTAATCCGAAATCCTACCAAAAATTAAAAAAAAATACTTTTAAAATTAAAATACCGATTTTTGCATTTATGTTTTAAAAATACCCAGTTTTGCAACTCACAATTGCAAATACCGATAAGTAAGTGCATGGTTGTCTTATTTTAGAACATTTATTTTATATATTTTTTTTAATTAAAGATACAAAAATATAAATTCCAACAGTTTTATTAGGTGTAGTAATATATATAGAAGCAAAAAATCTCTAAATAAGCAAAAAAGGTACTTATAAGAAAATTAACTCTTAGATTTTGAGTTCTTCATTTTCTTCTTCTTCCATGAGGATTTCTTCTTGGTGGTGATCTTGTTGCTGGCGAGTTTCAACTGAGCGCTAAAAATTGAAGATCAGTGTGGTTAGATCAATCGGCTCCAAAGTGTTTTTTAATAAACTAAAAATTGAAAATTTGTCCCTTTTAAAACTGGTTTTCCTAATCTCAATTACTTTGGCCTCTTCAGAATCCAAACAACAAATGAATAAATTAAAATGTCTACGTGCCCGTGCACTTACTTAATCACGTGACTATTAGGCGCAACGCCATTGGCAAGTTACAATTACATAGTTTTGCATTTGACAAATGAAGGCAAATACAGAGTTTTGCATCTAGTCTTTGTTTTGTAAAGCGTTTTTAATGCAGAAATAGGGAGTTTTGCTTCTTATTTTAGGAGAAGAATGGTAGAGTTTAAAATAAGGAATTGAATGGCGCCAAAACATTACTTTTGAAAATTTCGTCAAATACCGAGTTTTGCATTTAGGGGACTCAAATAACCTTTTAAGTAATAAAAATGTATCTCCGTCTATGGGCGGTATATCAAAGAGGTTGATTTATTGATGTTTTTTAGTTAGTTTAGCTGACGTCCGACAAGCAACGCCTTCCGTAGACCATTTTTTTTTCGAGTTCATCAAACAGAAGCCGAACTTGTTTCTGTATTTCGTTTGAAGCTAGCAAAGCACCCTGTATTCTTTAAAAAAATAGCAATGTAATGTTTTATATTTCAAGAGCCTAAAAATAGCCTAAAAATAGCCTAAAAATGTGGTGCAGTTGTTTTTAGAAAAAAGCTTTAAAAAACCGAGGTGCTCTGCTGGATTTGTTCGAAGGTAGCAAAGCACCCTGTATTTTTTAAAAAATACATTTTTTTTGAAAAGTTATATATGGTTTTAGGAGCCTAAAAATAGCTTAAAAACTAGTTTTCTGAAAAAAATAATAATAAACCGAGGTGCTCTACTGACTTTGCTCCAACAAAGCACCCTGTATTATTTAAAAATAGCAATTTTTTTAGTAAAGTTTTATAATATTTCAAGAGCCTAAAAATAGCCTGAAAATGTGGTGTAGTTGTTTTTAGAAAAAAGCTTTAAAAAACCGAGGTGATCTGCTAGATTCCTTCGAAGCTGGCAAAGCACCCTGTATTTTTTAAAAATAACAAAATTTTTCGAAAAGTTTTATAATATTTTAGGAGCCTAAAAATAGCCTAAACATATGGTTTCGTTGGTTTTGAAAAAAGCTTTAAAAACTGAGGTGCTCTGCTGACTTCGTTCGAAGCTAGCAGAGCACCTTGATTTTTGCAAAAAACGACGAGCATAAA